ATGATGATTGAGAAGCTAATTAAAAAAAATGGTGCCAGGTACCACAAGACTAACAGAACTGTGCTATTTTCTGGAATTTTGCTTTTTACTTTTTTTTTGTTTAATGGAATGTGCTGGATGTCTCTACAATTTTGTTCCAATGGACTGTAGAACCTGGAAAAGCTGTTGCTGCTATTGATGCATAACATACTGCTATTATTGATATATATATATATATGTATATATATACATATATATATATATATATAATTTGATTTTTGGAAACTTCAGCTGTGCTGTCAACTTTGGAAAAATGTATCCCAGTTTACTGTGCTGAGTTGGCATTGTACAGAAATTAACATCCATATTGGTCTAGAAATGTTCAACTTAATTTTTTCCATTTGTACAGGGGTAATGCACTGTATTAAATATGTAAGGTCTTATCTATGTGGGTTTCATTACAAAAACTAATAATGTATTCTCTAAATAAAAAAAGTTGTAAAAAATAAAAATAAATAAATAAATAAATAAAACAAATGAGATAATAGTTTTGCTAAAAGAGCCATTCAGGTTGCATGCATGCCTTAGAAACAAAATGAGCTCCCTGTGTAAGCATGCTTGCACCAAAGGAAGCTGGTTGGTTTTAATACTAAATAACCATAACGTGAAGTAAGCAGCAAGTCTGAAACTAAATGGACCCTAAGTGGTCATACACATTCTCAAATAGATGGACAGGGTCCTGGAAGGGAACTTCCATCAGTGTTAATGTGGGCAGCACCACTGAAGTGCTGAGCATTAAAAAGAGAAGACACACTTTGAAATGCTCTGAATTATTTATCTGAGTAAAGAAATCAAAGTAAAACATAAGAGAACCACACATTTACCACAGTAACTGTCTAGGAGATATTTTATGTCTTCTTTTTTTTTCTAAACGCTATTTTTTAAGACCTTCAAAACTAGCATATATATCATGACTGATTATTCTGTCTTTCTCTTGTTTTAAAGCAGGGACATTTAAATAAGAATTTCCTAAATCTCCTATTACCAACATAGACCATCACATCTCTTCAATTCTACTATCTGATGAGGTGTGAGAGAGGATACACAGACTATAAAATATAGTGTTTACGACTCTAAATGTTAACTAAGAAAGATGTATTCTTCAAAATACTGCTTATGTCATATCACACTCTAAAAATATCACAAAACAATTCAGGAGATTTATGAAATGTATAATAAAGTATGAAAAGTAAAACCAGCTCTGTTAGCTTAGTAATAAGAAAATGAAATTGAAGTAACATTGCAACTTGCCCAAACAACATTTCTCAGTAAAGATTTTCTCTACTGGCTTCCCCTTGTTCAGTTTTCAAGAACATTTTCTTTCTGAAGCTGTACTTCCCACAGTGTGCAATTATTTATAAGATGGGAGTAATAGCACACACTCTGACTTAACCTGTTTTCAGCTCAACTACATACAGCTATAAAATGAGCTCATGAATTACTAGCTGCTGAAAGCACTGGGCTTTCAAATCAGTCCTTCCAGACTACAGCAATGCAGACTCTGGAGAGTATGCAACATAATTGCTAGTAACAGAAAATACTTGATTAAGAGTCAGCCCTTTGTTTAAGAAAGCTCTCCTCATTTAGAATTGTTTCTATTAAGTCTCACTAATAACTTGTATTAGAATTACACAAAGTCCTGTGAAATATGTTTATCAGATACAGTGTCCCAGGAAACCATCCCTGCTAATTCTCTGCAAAGTGGTGGTGCTTGCTCCACATAAGTGATGCAGTTTTGACCCAACTTCAACTGTGGGCAGATCAATGCCTTTGGGAGTTATAGAAATTTATATACAGAGTTTTGTAGAATAAAATGCAATGCACTATTGTGTATAAAATAAAAAAATAACAAGACTTTAGTTTTGGGCTAGAATTGTAAAATGAAATGCAATGGAAGATAGACTCATATCTTTACCTGTTCTGTCTCAGTAGTGAATATAATCAGTATGTGCCTCAACTATATCCATGTGTTCCAAATTGACTGATAATATTATCAAAAGAAAATTCTACAATTACTTAATTCAGTTTAACCTTTGAAGGTAGATAGTGCATAAACACAGGCTAGTGGAGTAGAAGATGTCTTTTCCACTTGTCTTATGTAAGCATGGCTTAATTCCTGAATATAGCTTTGTCATACTCCCCAAATACAGTCTACCCTCTATTCCAAGCTAACTGAAGTACTAATAAACTAGAAAACCTGTTAGTAGGAATATGGCTTCCATGAATCACATAACCACAAAGTATCAAGTCTAACCTCAGCTCTACCAGTAAGCTAACATGTGACTTTTGCACAGCTATCAGATGTCTCTAGGCTAATATTTTCTTAATTTTCAAATGAAGAATTTCTATTTTTGGTGGTGAGCTACACTTTAATAGCTAAGCCATATCTGCAGACAACTTGACATGCCATGGCTGGCTGATATAGATAGGAGGCCTTGCCCTTTTCTGAAGAGATAGAAGGATGGCTGGGTGGTTGCGGGGGTGTTGGTGGGCAGGACTGGGAAAAGAGCAGGGAGGGAAGGGAAAATGTGATCAGTCTGGGAAAAAATAATTAATAAAGAATTAAAATTACTTCAAAAATGAATTTAGTCTAGATGATGTGTAAGTTATTGCCAGCTCTTGAACTTCTGATAGATTATCAGTATATTTCAAGGTTGTAGCAAAGGTATCACCTAATTTGGAACGGAGCATTTCCAAAACACTTCTAAAGGAAAATGATTTTGATAAATTTTTAGTTCACTTGAAGGAGCCATTTACACAGTGTGAACAGGATGCCTTAGATTTCAAGAACAAGGTTAGTAATGGTCCTTATCAATAATTACAGAAAGGCAACAAACATAAGCCAGAAATGTCTGGAGTAACCTGGCCACAGTGTCATGGTGTTTTATCTAGTCTACAGAGTCAGTTGACTGTTGATCATAGACTTTTCAGTTACATCAAAACCAATTTCTCAATTTTAAAATAAGTTTACCAGGTGGAGGTAAGAAACTTAATTGGATTGGCCTTTAAATAAATGTAAGGAAGCAGATTCAAAGATTGTTCTGTTCCATAAAAGGCTTCCTAGACATTGTGGGAAACAAAAGTTTTCCCCATTTTATTTATTTTTTCAGGGTGCTAATAAAGGTCCATGGTACACAGGAATATTTGCAAAACTGTCATAACCAGTAGGGTATATGTGACCCATTTTTAATTTTTGGCAAAGTGTGAAGCTAAGTTGGTAGAAGAGACAGGTTGCTCAAAGAAAACCCCAAGCTCCCACCTCACTGTGAGCCCCAAGTAGCCCCAGACTTACGTGAATCCCTTTGGTGTCAGGATGCATTTGGAGTCATGCTGGCAGGGGTTCAGGTCCTGGGCACAGAAGTCCAGCTTTTCCTCACACAGCTCGCCTGCAATAGGGGAGTAGTATTACTTCTCCAAGGAAGGTGGGCAGGCTTCAAGCCAGCAGGCTGCATTACAGCTCATGGTTGAAAACGAAGCAAAATGGGGGAGCCACCCAAAATATGGGACCAGAAGTTCACAAACCTGTGTTCAATATTGGTTTTTCTGCTAAACAGGCTCTAGGCAATGCTAATAAAGTGGTGTGTTGTTTGTATGAGACCCTGTAGATATTATTGGACTAGGAAAAGGACATTTGAGCATTTAAAAATGTCCCTTCTTTAATTTTTACATTTAATCACATGTTATTGTTAAATTGAAGTATAAAATGTATACCCCCAAAAAAGAACACCAAAAAACTCTTCATTAGTAATTTACTCAAAGTGATCCGCGTCTATAACCAGAAACATATTTACCCCTGTCCCTGAAGTCTCCCTTACCAAACTTCTGGTTGGTATTAGAAGTATAACCAATGGTGACTGCTATCTTGACAAGATAATGGGATAGTAGGACATATTTTGACCTTAACATAAACTGTGATTTTTAAATGGAATATTTTGGTGTATGCTTCTTTTAGTTTTGTTTATTCTGTTTTTATTTGGAAAACAAATCTGAATATTCTCTAAGGTTTTTTAAATCTAGAGGAAAAGCATTTTGGTTCTCTATTACATGTCACTAAAAAGATTGATGAAATACTTATTAACCACTCCACTGTTATATAAAGAAAAAGAAAGTAAATGAGAGAGAGAAAGGGAGAGAGAGAGAGAAAGTACACTTTCTCCAGGACTTTAAAATTGATTAAGAAGCATAATTTTTATATGTTAATGAAGAGTGAGAATATAACTATGTGGGTCCTAAACACTCTCTAATAATTTTATCAGTGAATAAACTATGAACATAAACATGCAGATAGTAGGTATTCTATATCGGACCGTATTTTTGATAGTCTACAAGGAAACTTCTTCCAATGATTTATGCTGTTGCTATTTCAAATACATTCAGGTATAATTTTCAACAGAAAGATTCTCTAATCCTGGTGGAAGACTAGAAAGGCAATATTTTTAAAGCTTTTTTTATCACGCTCTACTTTATTTATAAATTAGCTTTTCAAACTACTTGATCCACATATGCAGCTGCTCACTTGCTTCAAGAATGTTACTTTGTTAGTGTGTGAGTTTAGGAGCTGCAAGGCAGCCTTCTGTTGTATGACTCTCCTTTGACACAGCATACTACTCATTGACATAAAGGCCTGCCAACTAAATGAGGGTAATTTATTTATACTTCAAAGATCTTTTTATGAAGCAAGTATAAGAATGCACTCATCTGTTATTATCATACTCTATCTTTCCATATTCTTAAAATGAGCTTCTTGTACTACAAGTCTCATTCATTTTTTTCCTAGGAGGATTTTTCCTTGTCTTTAAACCTGTGACAGAAAAGTTTAACCATACAGATATATGGTAAGGAACTTTTGAAACAGTTTATTTAATGTTTGTAATTTCAAGTACTGCTACTCTAAGAGACGCTGATGGAATTGATTCATCATATTCAACACCAGGGATGTGAAAATCACCTGGGGGTACAGGGTGTTTATGTCAAGGAGTCTGTAAAATAAGATAATGGAGACCATTTGAGATAAATAAAATCATTAAATCTATGTACTTTTTACTGTAGCCCAAAATATGAAGTTGCATTACAAATAATAAGGAAAGGCAAGGGGTTCCTTCTTCATTCAATTTAACCCTGGCTCAGCTACTGAATCAACCATAGTTCATCAAGACTGTGGAGTATGTGACAGATGCCTAGACTACTAAGATAAAGTGAGCAGCTCTGTCTTCTGGTGGTTTCCAATGTAAACACAGAGAAGAATCTCAGCTAGGAATAGAACACACAGACTGGCTTTTACCTGTAAGTGAAAATATACAAAACAAAGAATTGACCTTCCCTTCTTACTGAGAAATTTCTCCCTAGATTCCATTCTGTCCAAGACAGAATATCCCAAAGACAACACATCACGTAATACATGTCCTAGTCCTAAATTGAGGTATTATTATTTTTTTGTGATAAAGTCATGCCTCATTCTTTGATCAGGTTCTCTGGGTATGTCTGAAAAAATTTGGGTTGGAAATGAACAAAATCTATATCATACGGCATGAGCTGTGAAGGAGCATGGGAAGAATGGTACCTAAGAGAGTATGATTCCAACAAGTCCTACCAATGATAAATAGCTGTAAGTCATCCATTACTAAGCCCTCATGAAAATATTTTCCTGTATATTTTGATGCAGTGGTAATGTGACGATTCATCCTGACTTGCTCAGGATAGTCCTGTTTTGATCTGCTGTTTTAGGATAATTACTGACTATGGCTGTTGTATACTTGCATGGATGCTCTGGTTTGTATGAAAAAAAAATGTGATGATCACTTCCTAGTGGAATGGTAAAAACTGGATCATCAGAACTTACAAGGCCTGATTTCAACTGAAAAAAGACCCAGCAGAAGATGATCCTGGGAAGAATCTACTCTCATTGGTGAAAACAACAAAAGTTTTTTGTTTTCCTTCTGCAACTACATGCAATATAAAAGAATTGTATATTTGAAATGAATGAGTTTCATTTTCTGGGCTTCTCTTCTTCATTGATAACGGAGGTTTTAGAACTGAAGATATAAAGTTCAACTTGTCTCTAAAATAGCCTTTTTATGAAAGAAAAATTCATCTAAAGAGATGGATAATGCAGATAGGAAAGTGACAGAGAGAACTATACTCAGCTAGACAATTCAACATTATTTCATTCAGTGGGAAAAAGAAATGTCAGCATGAGCCCAGAGCCCCTGCAGTATAAAGAAAGCAAAGATGGAAGCCTCAATGCACACTGAAGGCTCTTCTGGGAAATAGAACCTGGTGTGGGCCTTAACTCCTGCTTTATTTTAGATATATGTGCTTAACTGATATTACTATTATTTTAAATACAATGGAGCTCTTATGTTTATCATCCTTCTTAATTCCCTTCTCACATCATATCTTTTTATTTAAATTTCTTACTGCAACTTAATGAAGTATTTTTTAATATTTGGTTTTTTGCCATTTTTTTGTAATAATTCTTTAACAAACGTGTATTTCAACACCACTCCATTTTTGTTAAAGGAACTTTTACTTAATTAAATTAACATTTACCTCAAAGTCTTTACTTTTTATAGAATTTTTAATGTTACCATCATCCTAGTAAGGATTTAATATCAGATTTGCCCTTTGCAAAGAAAAGTAGACTGTTGCCGCTAGATTTCTCCAAAGACATGTTAGCATCAAAATGAAGCTGCCAAGATACATAACCTGACCAGCTTTCTTCCTCTACTTAAAAATGTTTTCTTTCATATTTGAGATTACAATATGATAACACCACTCCCCATTTCCCCTTCCCCTTTCTCCTTCCAAACTCTCCCATATACCCCTGCTTGCTAGCTTTGGAATCCATGGACTCTTTTTTCATTAAGTATTGTTATAAGCATATATGTATATGCATATACATGTATATTTCTAACCATATGCTCAGTCTATATAATTGTTATGTGTATGTTTGTTTTCAAGGGTGAACATTGGTAATGGATAACCACATGGTGTTCTCTTCCTTGGGGAAGATTATTTCTACCACTCTCAGCATTCCTTGCTTTCCTGAAGTACTTTTAATGTGAGATCTCCTGGGTTTTCCTCCTTCAGTTTGGCATGTATATTGCCATTGTCTTTGTTCTCACATTTAAGCAGTCATGTTGGTGAGACTTGGTGAATTTAGCTTCTGTCATTAATAGGAGACAATATCACCTCAAACTCCCTGACCCTCTGGTCCTTATTTCTGCCTTTTATTCTAAAATGTTCCCCAAGCCTTAGGTGTGGGTGTGTTTTATAGATTTATACACTGGGAATGGTTTCCACAGCTTTGAATTTAGATTGGTTGTGGTTTTTTTTGTAATGGTCTCCATCTGTTCAGAAGAGAAGTTTGCTTGATGAGGGTTGAGGACTACACTTGTCTGTGTCAGCACATGTTTTTAAAAGCCAAGCATGTATCAGACCCTGTGAACATGTTTGGGGTATAATGATGATGACAATGAAAAGTTTCTCTCATTTTATGGAATTTGTCCAGAGGGTGTAGGGAAAGAGAAACATTAATCCATTATATCACAACCACATTTAACAATGTCTCTGACTTGAATGCTGAGAAAGAAAGGTTCCTGGTGCTCTCAAAGATGCTATGGGTAAGAACAGATTGGGTTTTCTGAACAAGAGGATTTAGAGGTGTCAAGTGATGGATAGAGATGATGTAGGAGGCTTCTTGTAGAAAGGTAGAGAGTGAAGTGACCTAGGGATAGTAGCATTCCAGGGTAGTCAGCAATGGGCCCAGTGTTTTCTTATATAGCTACCTAAGAAGAAGTAAAGCAAAGGGAAAAAAAAACATTTCAAAAGGTATGGGGAAGACAATGGACTGCTTTCTATCCACAAAATTATTTGGTCATTTCTGGATTAGAATCAGTATTTATGGAGATTTTCACCTGAAATTCACTGTTTCAACTATTAATTTATCTTTACACAAATTGGAGGAATACAGAAGGGTACTTAACTAATAAATGAGTGAGAGTCTACCCAAATTTTCTGATACACCAAACTGTGAATTCCAGTTAGGAATGTCTATAACAAAAGACAAATAAAAGACTATTCCATGGTGTTTATGGGCACTTAGCTGGTACTTTCTACTATGATTAACTTTTGCTAAATCAACTAGATCAATTTCTCCATTTGCTTAAAGATATTTGATCTGTGAGTCCATTCTGACAATTGTGGATGCATGAATGCATGGGAGGATATGAGAGAATGACAATGCAAGCTATTCTTAAATCTGATCAAAGCAGATTTTCTGACTGTGCTAGGGAGTATCATTAATATTGATATGAGGAACAGGGATCACAGGGCAGAGATCTGAATAACTGAATCAGAATTCTAGCGTTAAACTTAATCAGTTCTG